GCCGAAACGCGCTCGTCGTAACGTTTTGCGATTCAACTTTTGTAACTCGCGTTACCAAAAAAAAAAAATAACTGATTTATTTCGCATGGCTCTCGCCTCCACTTTACGCATTGAGCCTACGCTTGATGACGAACGCGCGAGGAAAAGGATTAGATTCGCGCGAGCCGAATGTAGATTAGATCCGACTCTCCAATCCGATGGAGAATATTCAGGTGATTCTCTCGTTGAGCGTATTGTACTCTTACGTTGCGCGCCGCTTTGGCTCCTCCCCGCGAACAACACACCGCGCGGTAGAAGCCTCAGCCTCGGCTGTTTCCGAACTGATCCTAAATCGGTCTTTAACACGGATTGCTCGACTTTTCGACACGCCACAATGTTTTTCATCCTTTCTCGATAAGACGGTTTCCCTCGTGAGATTGCACGCGTTACACGAAACGTGTCACTTAATCAAAATGTTATACGTATTATATATACTATTAAGCAATTGTCGGACGGGAGCAGACGCGCTTGTACCACACATCGACTGATTAGAGTTTCGTTCGACTGTCCATGCGAGCGCAAACGAGAACTCTTTCCCAGCTTTACGTTGCGATCGTTGTATTTACCGGATGTTGGATGGCGTTTCCGTATCTCGTGACTGTGCGTTGGGAGACAGTGGTGCGTTAAAAGTGCGCGAGAACAAATGTTTATACTACATATTATAAATATAATAAATATATGCGCTGCGAGAGAGAAGGGGAGAGAGAGAGAGAGAGAGAGAGAGAGAAGAGAGAGAGAGAGAGAGAGAGAGAGAGACGGTAAAGTATCGGGACGCACGTGCGATATTTAATTCGGGAATGTTTAATTACGCAACGTTATTGCTACTATTTTCATATGCCGGATGAATCAGGACGAGAAGATCCGATCGTGGTGTTATCCGGCGATTTTATCAATCAAAATTACATAATCAACATCGGCGGTGGTGCATTTACGCGCACGTGCGTCGCAATACCGCGTGTATCGCTCTCGTACGCATTTCTCGGTATACGGCAAACGATTAACAAATGGGAATCACTAGTGTGTGCGTGTGCGTGTGCGTGTGTGTGCGCGCGTGTGCGTGTGCGTGTATATAGAGGACCACGGGTTCCTTAATTTTACAATTCTTGAGAAAGAGAGAGAGAGAGAAAAAGGGGGGGGGGGAGGAGAACACGAATGCTCGTCAAAAATTAATAATGAACGATAATTCACATTGCGTATCTCTCGTTGCGCGCCTAGTAGACTGCAAATAGTAGTCATTCGAAAGTCCGTACATCGTGTTTTGGGGGCACGAGCAGGAAGTGTATAGTGTTTAATTACAAGAAGTCCATGCATCGACGGAAGCTTCTGCGTCGCTTTCCAGACAATTACTTTTGTGATTTATTCGTAATCGAAGGAGCACCTAAGACAGGTGTGCCCGGTGGCCGGAGATTTAAGGGATTAACAGCCCGGCAGGAGAAAAGTTGAATTGAAAGAAACCGACGTATAGTGTCAGACGATAAGCGTGGCGTAAACTCGCGAGCATAGCTTACGAGCTTCGGGACAAAATAATAATCCTTTTAATTCCTTCTATGTGTGGAATGAAGTATGTATAACGATATAATAAAGTGCCCGATGCGGAACGGAGAGGAGGGACTCTAACAAAAAAACAAAACAAAAAAAACCGTTAAGTCGCTTAATTCCATCTGAAGGATTAAAATGCGAACGGGGAGAATTGATAAATTTTTAAACCTATCTCTGACAATTTTATAGAATGAATCGGTTTCTTTGAATTTCCTCTACTTGCGGGGGGGAGAGCTTTAAAAATCGACGGCGGGGCCGACAGGAGTCGCGTGGAGAGGCCGTCTTTCTCGCTCCTCGATAATTATATGAGTAATTGTCTTTTGTTTGACAGAAAAGCGATGCGAAGTTCGGTCGCGTTGTACTCAGATATACTCCGCATACCTTGTTATTCAGCAGCAGTTGAACAGATGAATATGATTTATTGCAGAGAGCCGTAATACCACAAGTGAAACCGTTCTAAGTATATTTGTTATACACACATATTGTTACCATTGCCACATGAAAGCAATTATTAACTCCATAGCCTGGGCCATTGTTAGACGAACGAGAACTCGGGACTGTTTCTTGAAGTAGGATTGCAGCCGGGATTACGTTTTTAACATCGCCGTAAAGTTCGCGTTTATGATAAAATGCAATAACTATCGTTTGGCGGGCAAATTGTAAAAAAAATCCAAGATTCCGAGGCACCGGAGGCTGAATTTTAACAATCTAACTTTAATGTTACTTTTTTTTCAGCGCAACGCGCCACGTTTTAATTGGCCACGATTTCTTGATTGGCGAGAAATAATTTTCAGGGTGAATTGACTTTAGAACAGTCGCGCTTTCCCGCGGCAGCTTGTTCTTTCTCTGTCTACCGTTTTGTGTGTGTGTGTTTTTTTAACGGCGCACGCAATCCTACGTCGAGGAAGAAAAGAGTTACAAGAAAGTGTGAGACAAGTTATCGTAATAGTCGCCGATTACTCCGTAACAATGGCAATGCCCATACGTATGAAGTCTGTAATCGAAATGCTTTATATTTTTACACCGAACAAAGCAGTATATAACGTACAATAAAACAATAAAACATGTCCTTCCATACATGCAACCTCAAGATGACAAATGTTAAATTTTTATTTTTACAACAGCCCACTATCACTTCCGATATCTGAGCTATATTTGGGCGTATAATTATAGTTGAGACTATTAATTAGGGATATTAAAGTCGGCTAGATTCATTTTAATCGACTCACAATTTTACGATTTCTACACGAATGATCGTCTACTGTAATATACGCATTATACGATACGTATACATATGTTAGTGATATTATACCGTGCGACGACGCGTTTTACGATCGTTAATAATCCGCAGGAAAGGGCGATCTCTCGAAAGTGTTAATTTCTTCTCCGAAATTACGAAAACGAGCTGGCCTGTCCAAACAAATAGTTAGCGTACCATTTCGTCCGTTGTCGCAGCGTCCGATTGTACATTGACGCCAATTAACTTCGGCTATCTAGATTTATGCTGTTTCGAAGCGAAGAAATCAAAACGAAGGGAGAAGAAGCAGATAGTACCAAAAAACGAATGGCGAACGCCGATGCGTTTAACTTCACGACCGACACACACATATTGTACATATGTATTTATTAAAAGTGATAGATATACAAACTAATACACACACACAACTACACACACGCACGCACACACATACACACAACCACACGCACAAAATACATATGTATACATTTACGCAAAGGTTTCCACCGTGCCGAATACTGTGTATTAAATATTTTTCTCTCCGACATTATCTTCTGGACTGTTAAGAAAAAGGAAAAGCTATATCGACGCGATTCCCCGCGAATGCGCGACAGCCTTCGACGTTACTGTTCCGTGCGATGGATTTCGGACAGAGCCGCGTAATCGCGTTTACTCCAAGCAGTCTCTGAATACGCGAGTTCGACAATGAAACAAAGGCCACGTGGTCGAACACGCGACAGTCGCGTGACGTTACGCGCAACGCCGTTCCTCTTGCATTTCCTTGATCCTCGCGGAATTTCAATCAAGCGTGTGCAAAATCAAAAGTCACATCCTGTCTAATTTCTGTCCCCGAAAGCGACAGACTCGCCGAGAGACAAAAGTTAGCCAGTATCAGCTCGTTACGTGGTAAACATTTGCGTATACAACATGTCATTCCATCAGCAACGTCATCACTGTTATTACCTGGTCGAGTGTCCTGTCGATTTCTCGTCGACGGGACACCGTACGGTGTTTTTTTTTTTTCTATTACAGTCGCCGTCAAACTTTAACGTTCTTCTGTACAGGCTGCGTTAAAGTCCCGCAATCTCTTTACGGCTAGAAACTCTCCAAATCCGAACATGAAATGTTATGAAATTATATGAAAAATTATTGACGACGTTGCGAGTTAGAGTCTCGGGAGCTAACGTGATACAAGTGAATTATAAAATCTTATCCTTTGATCGATTAGCAAGTTTCATTTTATCGATGTAGTCTCAGGTGCGGTCCGAGGCACACCTGTAAATTTTATATCAATGACGCAAGAGGTCTCGGTCAATTGATGGAAAATCTTACGGGAGGAGAAATGCGCGGGACTTTTGACGCGGCCTAGACACGCGGAGGCTTGACATTGTACGGCAGACATGCAAACGAATCAAATCCACGTCTTTGTTTCTTTTTCCTTCTTAGAACGCCTCTAATAATAAAGACAGCCGTACTTACTTGTACGTGAAAGTATACGTATCCGAAAGAAGGGAACTTCGATATTCTCGATTCGCCAAATCGCGACGGAATTTTCTTCAAACGCGGAACGGGACGTCGCCAAATTGGGACATTGCCTTTTGGTGGAAAACATGATAAAAGAGGGAGGATTCGATGTCGAATCTGCAAAACGCGAGAGAACGAGGGGAACGGGGCTAATGACGAGTCGAGCCTGAAATTAATAATCAAAATTGAACGACTGTTTGCGAAACACTTGTGATTAACTATTTTATAAAACCGACCCACGGTACGTCCTTAGGTATATTATGTAACAAAATGTAGAAAGAGAAAAAGATAAATAAATCGAGGAAAATTCCCTTGTGAGAGAGCACGGATGTAAAATAAAAAGACTTTTTGAACATTATCATTCGTTTTTATCACACTCTCATCTGATTGATCAAATAAAAAAATGAAAAGAAAACGCGAAGACAGTCTTTTTCGTTTCGATGTTTATCGTTACTCATTTTACGCGCGTCGAATCGTTGGGACTGTGTTCGTAATGTTACTAGCCGTTAGAAAGTTCTCGGTCATTAGAAGCCGTCAAAAAATAAAAGGAAAAGAGAAAAAATCGAATGTTTACAGAGGAAAAGTTTACATACCACACGCTTACTGGAAAACACGAATATAAAATGTATTTCAAGACGTCTTCATGCAAAGCTGATGAATGTTTTACGTGTATTAAAATGTTCCCTTTTAATCCTATTAAGACTTACAAAATATTATAAGTATTATACTTTACTTGTATATATACATATGTGATAAAAAAATATATATATATCTATATATATACACATCTTGTTCTCTTGTGTGCGTAAAATTTATATTCGTGACCTGTTCTCCGTAAAGCAAATGTATATGTTGAAACATATTATATGCATAGTTAATTCGTAATAATACAGGTTATATGTCAAAATCTCGATACCGTGAGAGCTACAAGCGAATTTGCAAATAAAAGTTTTATATATTTACAGAAAAATATATTTTTGACTGTCTACTTTTACAATTTGAGTTTTACGATCTTATTAAATTTATGTCTTAGCGTTAAACAATATAAAACAACGTGAAAATTTGACAATATTTGTGCAAGATATATATTACAATTTTGCTTTAAGAGGAATGTATGTGCAAATTGTGTTTAATAATGTTTAAATAAATCGCGACCAAGTAGTTTCGTTATTTAAGTAAAATGTGCACCATGAGAGTTTATCACAGTATTGCAACGAGATATAAAAACTATGTACATGTTCAGTCAATTTTCGGAATAGGAATTATGCTAAAATTCCCACATGGGATGTTTGATAATCCAGTGTTAGCCATCATTCAACTTTAAGTATACAATTATTTAACATCATTCGAAGGCGCAGTATCCAAGTTGGAGACTGTACTAACGCTAGGTAAACTGCTGTCGCTCCAATCAGGTTGTGGACAGTCCTGTAATGGACTGGGTACATTAACAGGTTTTCTATTTTGCATATCGCCTTGCTTTCTTGTGTCAGAAACTGTTGATTTGGTAGACACAATGCTTTCAAGAGCTTTCGACGCATTAAGAAACAAATTTTTGGCGTTGTCATTCTGTTTTTCCTTAAGTTTTCTAATTTCGTATATATCATTTTCTTTTCGACGCAAGGATTTTTTCGCAGTCACATCGTTCCTGTCCACAGGTTGGTAAACAACAGTATTATTTTCGTTATTACTTTCCATTGTTGATCCTTTATTCATAAACATTAATACAAATTAAAAATAACATTCAATTTATTTAATAGCACTTGAGTAAATTCACCAAACGGACGCACCTTCATTTTGATCCGGCATTACTGAATGTGACGATTCTCCATCAAGTAAACTAACGAAATCATCTTTGACAGGCGCGTCTTGTTTTAGAGTATGTTTGTCAGAAATGGAATTCATTGAAACAACGTTCAATAAATCAGGCGATTTATTGGAGTCATCAGAAAAACTTGAGGTAGGAGTCGAACATGCGCGTCCTGTATTGACAATTGATATTGTAGGACTTATACTTCCTTCTTTCATACATATTTCATTCAGTTTTGTCAACTGTTTTGCAATCTGATTTTGTAGCTCTCTGTAATATAAATGGGAAACATATGTGAATTAAACGGGTAGAGTATGCATGTTTTTAATTTTACCAATATATTAACCGATTGTCGTGCAATTTGCATCATTTACACAACAACACATTTACCAATTAGTAATTTTTTTTAAATATAAGTATCATTAATAGTATAATATGTACATACTTTACTGTACTTCGATAATTGCTAATTTGTGTTTCCTTATAAGCAGATAATACTGAAAGTTTATCTATTTCCATCGTTAGACGTTTATTATCAAGGAAATTTTTCTCCGCAAGTTTCGTTTGTGTATTCAGATCTGTCCTTAAATCTGTAATGATTCTTTCGTCGTTTTCAATTTGTTGTCTTAACTTAGTGACCACTGATGTCATATCGCTTTTTTCACGAGTTGCTTCATCCAATTGATGCGCAAGTATCTTTGCACGAGATTCTAAATTTGAATATTTTTGATCAGCTTCCTCTAGTTGTTCATTTCGCTTTAGAATTTTACTGATTTAAAAACCAAAAATTAGTATTAGTATTAATTTCTTCTTATTTGTGCTTCTTGACATATTATATCAAACCTTTGCAATTTTTCTCGTTCAAACATGAATGATTCACGCATGGCATTCATTGTTTTATTAGAGTCCTTTAATGAAGCTGCATTGGAATCTTCTTTGGTTTCTAGATCCTGCAAAAATAAACAACAATCAGTTATTGTTTTTTTAATCAGTCTGTTCAATGATAATATAAAAGTACTAGAAAAATTTAACTTATAAATTAATAAAACTTATAAAATGTGTACGCTTAAAAATATAAATTAGAGTGATATTAATACCTCAGAGAAAGATAGTGATTTTACAAAGCTTACCGGTATTTTCTGCAATATTTCTTCTATTGCGGCAAATATCTCACATATTCTCTTATCCTTCTTATTAACTAAATCTTGTAGCTGTTTTATTAAAGCTAGCATGTTTGCCTTAACAAGTGTATAACTTGTTGAATTAAATTCAGTAAGTTTGGGATTATATATTTCAGGATATTGTACAGCAGAATCCTTAACGAGAACTGAAGATGCTGGACAGCATGCTTTTGAATGTTTCTCCCCTGATTTCATCTGGAAAGATAGTTTTTGTATAAAATCATATATTTAGTGTGTGTGTGTACGTGAACATAAAGTGTATACGACATATAACACTTACGGGATGTTTGACTGTACTTTTCTGTTGCTTTTTAGTATTTGTATTCTTTATGGTTTCTCTATCTTCACTACGTTTAGAAGGCTTATCCTTTGTTATAGGCATTGAATTATGCGTAAGAACATTGACCCAGTTTTGTTTCGGAGGTTCACTCTCGTTAGTAGTAGATCTTTTCTTTTCAGCTTTCTGTCCAGGGCTAAAACTTGCTACGGGTGAAGTACGCTTTTTACCTTTATTCCTTGTTATCGCCAATGCTATCTCATCGCCTGGACTGAGCAGTATCACTTGCTCGGAAGGAGCCTTTGCGACATGCGGCTTGTAAAAATAATAAAAATTCATTAACGAGTATTTCAGTCTCCGACGAATAATACAATCGGATGGAATTAAAAGAGCCGTGAGCCACGACAAGGTTTTAGTGTGATAACAAAATATTAAAATTACAAACAGACGTTTCGGTCTCTTTTTAGACCATCTTGAAAAATTCATTAAAATATGAAATTGATCACGGAGCTGCATTAGACAAAATTGTAGTACCTTATGTTCTGTAGTGTGGGCCTTCGAAATTTGTTGGCAACTTCCTAAACTTCTGCTCTTAGCAGCCGCAGGCTTACACATCTTACTCATTTTGGTACTCGTCGACGTCACCTCTAGGCGTTGTTGCACATTTCTTTTAGAAGCATGTTACGTGCGTATTCGCAAAATACTACAAGAACAAACGGAAAACCGGAGTCACTTCGACGATGACAGACGATTTAGATATCAACAAATCAGAGTGCGTCGTAACCTAAAAGTATAGCTGTTTTGCAGCGGGTCGCGATACTTGCGAGCTAGTATGTATGTACGTCCCTTCGTATCCGACGGAGCGTTAGAACGATTGTCAGACAGCCATAATGTATGTTCTGCAGAGTGAATCTCAAACCGGAATCCTCGGAACGCAGGTCGAACGTCGAATCTCGCGCGATGACAACAAACTCGACGCCGGGCCGGAGAGCCGGAGTTCGGAGTTGTCGATCGTTTCACTCCCTCTGCGCACGCGTCTACCCGATCCTCATAAAGTCGAAAGCGGGGAGAGCACACACTTTTGCATAAGTGCGTCAGCATATGCATAACGAATTCGATTGGTCTATAAGCAAATGCACGAGGAAATGGTCACCAATCAAATTCGTTATGTATATGCTTATGCAAGCTCCCTGCTAAATGCTCAACGGAATGGACGCGCGATTTTCGTTGGCAGTCGAAACCAGAGGCTCGATTCTTGAATTTATTCCGAGAAACGTATGCGAAAATTCTGCTCTTACAGAAAAGTTATTGAATACCTTGTTAAAAAAGTTAATAAGCTCGCTACGTTTGATGGTAAACATCATGTGCTACAATTGCTGAAAACATATATTGTGAACATTTACCCACATTAAAATACCATTGCAGATTGCGATAAACAACTTTCCGTGCGCATAGCAATATCAATCGCCGGGCGGTTACATCACGCGCTCGAACTGAACGGTAGGCCGGGCTAAGACAATTTTTAATAATTACTATAAATAGAAATTTCAAAAGCAAGTTATAGTTGTGAACGCAAACTTTTATTTTTTTTATTATACACTTTAATAAAGAAATTTATTTCTATGCATATACAGTGGTGCGAAATTATTATATATTATAATGATGTATAAACTTACCAAATAAAGTAGCGTCAACAGAAATTAATCTTTTTACATACTGCAACACTCATATACATATACCTATACCGTATTATAGACATACATAATATCCATATTGTATCTGCTACTTTATTTAGGCTTTAAATCATTCTCATTGCATCTAAAATTTAATGAAATCGAGAAATCAAGTACATGTGTTTACACATACGTATACATATGTATAATGTACACTTATAAAAATATACACTTGATAATGCTATACCGTTGCAGTGAGAATGAGTCAAGGCCTTAGATGCAATAGTAAATGCGGTACTCTATGTCTAGCAAAAGTTGTCGGCCCTACATCATTAATTTGGGCCAGTGTTGACAAAGAACAGTGCAGTTTATATTAGTACAGAAAATTCTAGCATAGATATAACATGATTAATATTACACCATTTGTATGGATTTTATCAAGCAATATAATTATTATTCTACAATTATAAACTCATAAGCAACAAAAAGAAAAATGGTTACAGAAATTATACAAATTAGTCATCTACAGTCCACGATGTTTTAAAAAATAAAAATTTAAAAGAAACGAAAACTAGTTTTATTTTAATGCTTAAATTTAATATTAAAAATAACTTCAGTATTTTTCTGAAAAAATTTTAAATATCATCGTTTTTAAGATTGTTTCAGCCTGCAGAAAATTTGAAAATATTGAATCGAAAAAGGTTGGCCATACCTGTAGATTGTTTATTATAAATATTTAATTACTTTTCTTTTTGTTGCCTTATACTTTTAAATAGTCGCCACTTCTCTCCGGAGAGCGGTAGTCCTTAGTAAACCCACCCTCGCCATAATGCACAGATAAAAAAGAAAAATTATAAAATATGAATCTTTGAAATCGTGAATATCTCTTTAAATGAAAAATATAAATATTTCATTTTTTTCCTTTTTTGTTGCTTCATATTTTCGATCATCATACAGTTAAATCAGAATACACAGACAAAAGAGAAAAATAACGAAATATGAATCTTTGAAATCATGAATATTTGTTTAAACAAAAAACATAGGTGATCCTATGTCATTCATCTTTATTACAAACTGTCTCTGTTCGTGACCCAAATTGTTCAAGTTGACACTTACGCCCCTAGCAAATGGAAAAAATATTTTAGAGATCGTGATCGTAATTAATATCAGATTTATACCATAATTGATTGCTTACCCTTGTAGCAAGGCTCTTCCACGGTAAGCTCCCAAATGTGCATAATAAGTTGGTGCCGGATAGCTTACAGATCTTGCACAGCGGGCATATATATGGCAAAGATAAAAAGTCAATTCCTCAAGCTGATCTTCGGTAAACTTAGATTCATTGTAAATGCATCTGTATTTTGTAGGCCTCGCTGTACCCTACATTTATAACATAATCATAAACATCACATGTCAAATAAACTTCATTTGATTGGAGAAATATGCTTCTTAAAGTAAATTACTATGATTATTACAAATTAACTATTGCTATAATCACTACTGATCATTGTAACGATTGTGAAAATTTTGTCATTAATATATTTAATTCCTAACAATTTCTTAACACGTTTTCTAACAGTTTCTTAAGAATAAATCCTTTATAGTTACAAATGTATTTTATTTTTACAAAATCTATCGACCTACCTGAATACTCGCATGTGATACAAGATAAAAATCAATATGGTCGGGATGAGTAATAGTTGTGTCGACAATTGTACCCACTTGTACATTATAATTTCTATCATATGTATCTCTTTGATTAACTGGGAAGAGACGTATGTGGTGTCTCTTCTGAACGACTAAACAGGTAATTTCAATTTTATACTTTCTACCATCATGCGTGAACTCTTTAATGGCCGCTTTAATTTTTTCTATTTCATGAAACATAACTTGTGCAAGTTGCCCCTCGCTGACTCCGTCTCTAGATATTAATATAAATATGGAACTAATGTGTTAAAATGTATAAATATGCCTTTGTAAAAAGAAAAGAAATCGAGTCTTTATACAGTGTCCCGAAACTCAAAGAAAAGATTACAGCGCAAAAGTTCGTGAAAAATTAAGTGATGGAAATACATACCACTTTTAAGTAGTTTTTCTATATAAGGGTTTGAAATGCAAGCAATTACATAAGCATTGGTTAAAGAGTCATCTGTCATCTGTTGGTGATTTGTGATGCGTTTGACATCTATTACTATTACAATATACAGAAAGACGACTCATTACCCCACGCTTATGTGTGTGCGTTTGGTTATATTTTAAACCCTTAAGTACTTAAAACGTACTTTATAAAAAAAAAGCATGCATTTTTATCACCTAGTTTTTCACTTTCGTACTGCAATTTTATTATCCACGAATTTCAGGACAATCTGTATACGTTTCTTATTTATTTTGCGTTTAACACTGAGTTTCCCTTTATATAAAGGAAAATTCTCTATTATGAGGTAGGTTTCTAATATGAGATAGCAGGTTTTCAACTCAAATTCAATCACAACTCATCTTTTACAGTAATTACACAACCTAACAATAAATTTTCCACTAAACAAATTTCGCTCCAAGGGCAATAAATTCATGGTGGAATCAACCAATGATGGCTATACATTTAACAGAAACCCCGCTATCCCACATTAGGATCCTACATATCTTATAATATCTTATAATAGGAGACTTTCCTATATAAAAAATGTATTTTTAACTTTTCATACAACATTCAATATTACTAATAACATACCGATAATAGACGATTCTCTTCGGGACACAATTTGTTTCACGTACATAAAATGCAAGTTGTGATTGTATTATGGCCTTAAGATCCCTAATTATTTCTTCTTTGGGTTGTTGAAGTCTAAGTGCAACATTATATCGGAAGGCTGACTTATCATTATTTGCTGCAACCTAAAATAGTAGCATCTCATGTCATATATGTATTATTTACTATATTACTCCTTTAATGTATGTGTGTGTTGAATAATTATACAAACCGCTGCTACGGATGGTATATTTTTAGAATCCGGAGATGGATGAGTCACATCAGCACCAACAAGCATACAAGGTTCATTTAAACAAAATGGCCTAAGAGAGAAAACAAAAAAAGTTTTACTTGAGATTATAGGTAATAATTTGAATAAAATGATAGGTTAAAGGTTATTCACTTACATTTTAGTAAATGTATGATTGATGCCATTTAGTTTGGAATTAATTTTTAGTAGTATGTTTTTTACTGTCGCAAACTGTGGTCTGGGTGAGTCTAGTTTTTTTAAGGTTTTAAACTTCAAACACTGTGTCAAAACACCTACTTCCATCTCGGTAATCTTCTTTACTTTACCTGAGATAATAAGAAATAGTATTAGATCGATTTATATTCAGAACGAGAAATGTGATATAAAATAAGTTACATACCATACATTATGTCTGTACCATCAGGTATGATAACTACTATTAATTTTAATTTGCTATTCTGGTTGAAGTACTTCGTGATATCATTTAAATTATTCAGTCTAAAACTTTTAAGTGGAGTAAGGGGCTGTCCAATATTCATACCAACATCACGTGCTAAAAAAACCACTTACATATTACATAACCAATATAACATAAAACATAATATACAAATACATATAATCTGTGTATAGCATGAGTTAAAATTACAATTCGCCAAAAATGTAAATTTACAGTGATAAATTCCGCACCGTGATAAATTTCTTCATGAAATAACAATTAACAAATACACTATACTTTTTAGAAATCTTCGAAAAATATATTTAAAAATCATAATCTTAATTTCCATTTTCTATACTTAACCAGTGCTCTGCAATGTTTGAGAGAAAGTTTGCATAAGAGGGTCAATTGCTTTTCCACTCAAATTTACAATAGTCCATGAATAATTCTCCAAATGTTTGGCTTCATTAAAATGTTGTTGCAAATTCCACGTTCCTTTCCTCACTTCTACCGGGCGGTTAGGATCTCTATATCTCAAATCTGGAGGAGATAAAATTCTAGCCGCTACCTTTTCCATTTCAGGGCTGACAGATAGATGAAATTCTTGAGCCATTACGGGATTGTCGTTGACTCCTATTTGTTGGAACTGTAAATATATAATGTAATAAATAACAACAGAATATATTCAATACACAAATGAAAACTGTCTTACCGCATGTAGTATTCTGTCTTTACGTGTCATTGCATCTGTTGCTGTTTGCTTGATCATGGCACTGGTTTGAGATTCATTCATCCTTCTAACTGCTTGATTAGGCATAATAGTGCATAACTATAAATAAGGATATTCTTAATTAATTTTGTTATTTTACATTTCTAGCAAATATAACACAGCTTACGCACCTCGATAGGCAGCAAAATTTCGGTTCCGTCGGCCTTTGTGTTCACATGAACAGCAGGCAAGTCAGGTCTTTGGATCTTGTATCTCTTTTCTTTTAAAAAGTAACTTTGTATTGTAAGTGTTTTGACTTGTCCAGTCTCTCTATCGCCCTGGTTGAAAGTTGAGTTACAAGTCTTGTGACTTAACTGAATTATGCGGTGCGTTCGCTTTGAGAAATTGGGTATTTCGTAAGACACTTTTAAACCCTTCAAAAAACTATTTATAGTAGCAAGCGTCCATTCTTCCATCACGTCTTCATAAGTAATTCTTCGCTCGTCGATCCGTAAAACTTCAGCTAAATACGAAAGTACTTTCTGCGATGTGACGAATCCTTTATGAGAAACTAAATAAAATGCAAGTATTACAAAAGAGATTATAGATAATGATATTTGTTGTAGTTTTTGATTTAAGTTACAAATGCTTTGAAAGTATTTCTTATTTATCAATTAATGTGAATATTTTACCATCTACATTTAAGTATGGTTTCCATCCAATTACACCGGACATAAATCCACCACGCGCTAGACATACGCCATCACTTAATGGTGGCCAGTTATTCTGATTATCCCAGAAGATTGATCTTCCAATCTGTAATAAAATATATTTCATATTACGCTTTATGTACATTTATTCTATGTTTATATAATTTTCTGTAATTACATGACAGTATAAATATAAGTTTGCAATACATTGAAAAAGTTTACGTTAATATAAAACAATATGCAAGAACTCTTCTAATATGCGATTTTTTTTCGAAAACTCGGTGTTTTTTTATAATTATATAAAAATTAGTACTATTAAATTAAAATTCTATTATAAATTATGAAAGTACTGTTCATTGCTTACGTTAATAAATCGTAATTCAGGTGCATGACGCATAATTATATCCAAGACTTGTGTAGCGGCTTGATCTCTATTTGCTGCAAAACCAGGTCTGAAATTCTTTATCCAGCTTAGGTCAACTGTAGCCACTTTCCGCATTTCAATTATATACTTGTTTTTTCGGCCATCTTTATTTGTATGTTCAACAATAGTCCCAAAAGACTATACAGAATAATAATATACATATATATATATGTTATGAAAAATGTATTCTCTTTGTAGTTGTTGCTTATCTCGAAAGATTAAGATTTCGATCAAACAATGTTATGTTTCTAATATGATACATTATATTACAATTAACATATGTTACTTACTTCGCCAAAGGGAAGATCATTTGCGCTATATGCATTTTTCTTCCCATCAAATGCTGGATATCTGTGATTGAAATTTTGTTCTCTACATTGTTCGAAAATACCTCTGCACAAAGCTTTGGGGAGTGGGATTTCTTTCTTTTGCTCCCTACTTGTGGACTCTTTGTGAGGCTTAATAACAATATCATAATGAACTGCGTTGGTTACGAATTTATCGTTGAATATAATTTTAAACATATTCGTTAAAACTTGGGTCGGCCTCCCATTTCTTCCTCCCTGTTGAGGGTTTGCTCTTTTTGGAATCATTTCGTGATATAATTTCAATTGAGCAGATGTCATTTTTGGCATTTCAGATTCTTCTGAATAGAATGGAGCTGTCGCACCAAGCTGAGAAAGCTGGAAAAACATTAACAACTAAATAAGTTGAAAGCGCAATATACATATATGATATCTGTTTGTAATAGATATTTTATTAAACATACATGCATACATGTAATTGTAAAAAATTAGATATACAGGGTGTCTTATTTTAAATGATCCACGCAAATATCTCGAAAAAATATGAAAGATACGGAAAGTTGTTTATATTAATTAGTAGAATAAGATTAAGTAGTATAATAAACAATAGGGGGTTCCATTTTAAAAAATGAAGGTAACCTTCACGTGATCTTCAAATGACTATCCAAGATCAAGTCAATGGCACTACCTTATGTCCCTCTTCGAACCGAACAACTTTGGTTTGAAACGTTATTCTGTATCTTTCATATCTTTCGAGATATTTGCGTGGATAATTTAAAATAAGACACCCTGTATACATATATGTATACATATATGATCATACCTCAAGAGCTCTACTACTTGATGGTTGCTGTTGTTGCATACCATTACCACCTGGTACTTGTCGATGATCACCAGAAGCACCAATATCAACTATAAAAAAAAAGTACATACATACATATGTATATATTATTAACATACATGCGTACACATTATACATAACGTCCCACTTTAATAAAAAAATATCTAAAGGAGATATATTATACAATTATTTTATTTAAGAGGGACAATTTTACAGTCATCATATCTTCTAAATTCGTTTCAAAAGATAAAGAAAATAAAAAAAATAAAACTGTATCTTTTGTTCACTTCAATTGTTCTCATTATTGTGCAAAGATATTAAAATAAAATAAGTAAAAAATAAATATTTTACCAGAGGTGTTTTATATATTTAAGTCTAATATGTTATTCCAATATAAAACGCAAAATACCTTATGTGTACGTTATAATTAATAAGTTAATAAAAGTAATTAATAAAAACTTTCTTTTCAAGTACATTAATGAATAAGTAAAATAGCAAATTTAAAAAAGCTGTGGATCTTTTAAAATCGACTGTTAGCGAATTTGGTTGTTTGCACTAATATGCGCTGAATGCACACTAACGGTCATCTTAAATGCTCGAAACTATTTAGTCAAAACAACAATCCGTACAGATGCTGTACAGATCATTTTACTGGCTAAGAAGTATAATATTTCAAGAGATGTTTAAGACAAACCTTAAATTGACTATAAACAAGCCTTAGTTGCGCACTCAGTGCGCACTAGTGCAAGCAACCAAATTTGCTGTATCCTGTTAAATTAGGAAAACATTTTAAATACACTGAATATTCTAGTACACTAATATTTTAATTATTTATGTTATAATTCTTACTTGAAGCTTTCTGCTGCTGCTGATGTTGTGCTCTTTGTTGTTGCTGCTGCTGCTGCTGCTGCTGCTGCTGCTGTTGTTGTGGTGAAACCTGTGATATCTGCGATTGTGGTAGATTCCATGCCGTTTGTTGCTGTTGCCATGCTACATGTTGCGGCAGGCCCATTTGTTGCTGCTGTGGCGGTATCTTCTGTTGTAACCCCCACGCTCCTTGCACCTGAGATTGAGGTGGACGCACTGGTTGC